ACTGCAAGGGAGACAAAAGTGTAGGCAGGTTACAGGTTCGTGGTGACTTCACAAAAGCATAAGCAACTTATAAATCTGGCTTGCAAACATTAGTCAAACACCCCACCACTTTAAGAACTACAGAACAATTCCTGCAAAAGGCCTTCATAATAACAACAGTTGTATTGTTATTTAAAAACTGGTAAGCTGTCAGCATTAGGTGGAGCACTATTACTCCACATCTTCTGCTGTGTTTCCCAGCTGAACTAACAGCTCTCAGAGGGCAATTCAAGGAGCAATCTGTGCTTGCCAGAACAGCCATTGTATTAAGGCAAAAATGAACGTGGGTGTGGGTAAGAGGCAAAAAACAACAACTAAAGCATCAGAAACAAATGAGGTATTGGGTTCTTGCTGTATCCTTGCAATATTCCTTTTCCATCTGTATATGGCTTGTGCTACCTTAGCTCAGTACTGGTATTGCAAGTTCATAGGCAGAGTGAGAGAGCTCTTCCTGGCTCTAACAGTGCAAGAGCAGGTAAACTGCTCCTAAAGATGTTGTCTAACCTGCTCCTGCCGTTTCCTAATGAGATTCCACAGCTCACCCACACAGCTTAATGCACTCCTTAATTAGCCTTAAAATGTTTAAAAAGTGTTTCCTAATATCTAATCTGAGTAGCCCTTAGAGTGGTGAGATCTCATTACTTCTTGTCTTAACTGCTCATCCTCATGAAAACAAAGTCTTGCTTTTATTACACATTTTACAAATCTCTGTGGTTGCATGTTGTGGGACTAAAGGTGAAATTTTGGTTTTATGTTTACATAATTGCCTTCTATTTACGTTGGACTGGTGTTTCAGTTTCCCAAGACTGCCTGAATGCTCATCTCAATTTATGGTAATCCTTCCAGTCTGGAATGAGGTAAAAAAGCAGTGAGAAAACTCTCTTTTGTCTTGCAAGTTACTGTGGCAGAGGTCTTCAGAGGTGTGGAGATTTGCACTCCATATAGTCTTTCAATCAAGTAGCACAGTTTCTTGACCAGATTGGCACCAAACTTACAGCTGTTTCTCTTTCTGTTGCAATAAGTGTCAGATAAAATTATGTTAGAAGCCTCCCTTGAAGGAGAGACCTGAGGTTTACTTCATCTTTTGCAGCCACACAGCCTATCATCCTGTCTTTGGGGAAAAGTGATGTGAGTTTTTCCCCTTGGACAAATTTGATGTGATTTTTTTTTCCTGAATAGTGCAGTTCAGCAGTTCCTTTCCTCCATGTGGGGTACAAGTTATTTGGTACCTTAAGGAAGAAAGACTTTCTTCTCCATTGGGCACAGACCAACACTCATGTTCTTTCTTCCATTATTCAAATAATTAGATTTTCATATCACAATTATCTTATTGCATTTACTTCTCAGCTTTTCTGGTTTTATGTCAGGATGTTTACAATTCTTTTATACAGAGCTAGGCACTTTAACACTCATTTTTGGAGGTCAGGTCACAAAAGGTCTCATAGTTTTAATCAATTGTCTTGTACTTTCCTGACCTTGGGATAGTTTTGACATATGCCTTAAACACTTTGGGGGTTTGTGGGGATTTTAGAATTAGCCTTTCTTTTAAAAATACATTAATTTTATTATCTTGTTCTTTTTCTTTACTTCATTAATGAGCTCTGTCATTTTTACAGTTAATTTTATAGAAGTTACCTTCCATCTTTGTTTTGTCAGCAACTTCCAGTCTATATTTTAACACTAAATGCACATAAGTGCACTCAAAATTGCTTTTGATATTTTATACGAGATCTTCCTTGAAACATTCTGAAGACTGTCAGGGCACCCTGGGTCCCACTAAGTACCTCTCCTGTCTCATCTCTGGGATGTCAAACTATACCTCTAACTCATAGCTCTTGTAATGGTGATGACTCAGGTGTTTGTGTAGTCAGAGACAACAGCAAAATTAAAACATAAGGCACACATCATGTCCACAATGTTATTCATAAATTTACACTGAGAGAAGATCTCAGGGACCATCCTGAAGGGGAGGCAGGATGATTTATCAAGTGGAGATGTAAAAAACTACAGTGGGTGCTGGGGCAGGGATCTCATTCACCTCTACACTGTTAAACATTGTGGGGTTTGTTATGGCCCTCAGTAGCTTATCATTACATAGCAAAGATTATTTAATTATCACATTTCTTGAGAACATGAAGAATAGCCCATTAATTGTGCTGAGCCTTTGAAAACACTACATATCAACATACTGACCCCATAATTTACACTGACACAATTGTCACTCCAAAATGGAATTCCCCATGTGCCTCAGCCCTGGATATCATTACCCTGCAGCTGGCAAAGGGAACCAAGGTGGGTGAGATGGCAAAGCCACTGGGTGTTCACTCCTATCCCCTGCCCCGCAAAGCAAAAACATGGACAGCTCCCTGCATGGATTAGGCAAAGCAGCACAGAGCCAAGGTGAAGCAAACACTGTACCTGTCTGCCTCATCTGAAGGAAAAGGAGGACAGTGGGAAGAAGCCACATTGTCCCACGGTGACCTGCCATGCCCATCCTCCGAGCGCACTGCGCATCACCCGCTGCTCGCTCTGCAGGGCTCTGGGGCAGCTGCTGAGGAAGAAACACCACAGTGCAAGGGTCAGCCACTCATAGAAAACAAAACCTCTGAGAGCAAAGTCTGCACTCAGTGTCACCACGGCACGGTGTTCAAACACAAAACGTGTGTGTGCTGCAGCAATGCCCCACTGATGGCTTTGTGCTGGCAGAGCACCTCTAAGAGGCTTTCCTCTCAAAATTTGGACAAAGCCTCTCTAAAGCA